CACTGAAATCTCAGTAGACTGATTGTAGCTAATTGTTTCTCAGGTTCTAACCCATTCCCATGAACCACTCTTATAATATCACCACAGTATCGTATACAGAAGCTATATTGATTTTGGGAGCCAGAAGCTTGCAACCACATGGGAAATTTGTACATTTTAGAGTAAGATGATGGTTTGAGCAACACCTTTTCACATTGCGCTTTGACTCTGCTGCACTCCAGCTCTGGGGCCCCATCCAAGTACCAGAATATTGTGTTTCAGGAGATAGCTTCTAGTAGCATCAATAATGGTAGTTTTGAGTTCCCTAAAAAATACAGGGCTGATCCAGAAACAGGACTTCTTCAAAATCACAGTAAGTTAATATTTCTGCTGGGATTAAATCTTTTATTTGTCCTGCTGGCCTTGCTAGGCATCTCATGCCACAGCAGTGCAGAAGGTTGGACTAGATGACTCTGGGGGACCCTTCTAACTCTAGCACTCTATGAAGTTTCCACACAAGCTTAGTGCAGCCTCCCAGGTTTCTGTCCATGCCTGGTTGTATATGGACATTATAATACTGGGAAGCCTACAAAGGTGCCAGAAGCACTGGATTCAGATATTTGAAGAGTCCTTCCTCTAATCTGAAGGTCTGAAATGTATGCTATTGCTTGGCATAAGATGGGATGGGTTTTTTGCTAAAGGCAGATTTTTAAAAAAATGTTTCATATGCTGGATTTTAATAGCTTGCTTTGAAATGTTGCCTGCCTTGAATCGTTTTAGATTCATTATTTAAAGACAGCAGTCCTGCTCCAGGCAATGGTACTCAAAGTGCCCAGCATGGTCCTCCAAGACTAAACAAAGCTGTTCATATCTGAGGTGTAATATAAACCACATGAGCATTTGGCTCAGAAGAAAGCTCTGTGCCTGTGGCAGTTGCATGACAGGCAAGCATTCAACAGGTGATTCTTTCCTAGCAGTAGAGGATATGATCTTATTCCATTTCTTCCTGTCCTGAAATTACAAAACAAATTGAAAACTCTGCTTCTGGATGGGATAGTGGGGAGGGGAGTGAACTTAGCAATATTTCAGGCCCAAACTGGCTCCTTCACTTACTAAACACGTGAGGTGTCCCCTGTGCTTTTTAACAACTAGCAGAAATTCAGCAGGTGCAACTTAGAATCATAGAATCATAGAGTTGGAAGAGACCACAAGGGCCATCGAGTCCAACCCCCTGCCAAGCAGGAAACACCATCAGAGCACTCCTGACATATGGTTGTCAAGCCTCTGCTTAAATACCTCCAATGAAGGAGACTCCACCACACTCCTTGGCAGCAAATTCTACTGTCGAACAGCTCTTACTGTCAGGAAGTTCTTCCTAATGTTTAGGTGGAATCTTCTTTCTTGTAGTTTGGATCCATTGCTCCGTGTCCGCTTCTCTGGAGCAGCAGAAAACAACCTTTCTCCCTCCTCTATGTGACATTGAACATGGCTATCATATCACCCCTTAACCTCCTCTTCTCCAGGCTAAACATGCCCAGCTCCCTTAGCCGTTCCTCATAAGGCATCGTTTCCAGGCCTTTGACCATTTTGGTTGCCCTCCTCTGGACACGTTCCAGTTTGTCAGTGTCCTTCTTGAACTGTGGTGCCCAGAACTGGACACAGTACTCCAGGTGAGGTCTGACCAGAGCAGAATACAGTGGCACTATTACTTCCCTTGATCTAGATGCTATACTCCTATTGATGCAGCCCAGAATTGCATTGGCTTTTTTAGCTGCTGCGTCACACTGTTGGCTCATGTCAAGTTTGTGGTCAACCAAGACTCCTAGATCCTTTTCACATGTATTTCTCTCAAGCCAGGTGTCACCCATCTTGTATTTGTGCATGCCTGAAAGGGAAAAACCTTCTAACTGTTGGTTTATTCTTACTATGCAGCTGTGGAAGGATTTAATTCACACTTCGTTTTCCTTTCTCACTCCCTCTTCTCCAAGCGGAAACCACGGCCCTTTCCTATGCTCATCTCTTCCATCCCCACCCACTATCCCCAGCAGCAGAGGAAAAGGCCTGTCAAGAGTTTGCTGACTTGGAGCAGCCAAGCAGTCAGTCACATATGAAGCCATGTGATAGGCCTTGCTGCTGCTGCCGCGGCAGTTCCCTCTTGCCTCTGCTGCAAGCCCTGTACTTTGAATTAGCTTGGGAGGAGAAAGATTCACTGCTAGGAAACCAAATAACACTCACCAGCTGTTGAATAGTGGGTAGACATAGCAGACGACACAGCGATTTCTCCAAAGCAGCTCTTTATTTGTAAGCTGGAGCAGAACTGAACAGCAAACAGCTCAGCCAGCCTGCTTTTATAGGCAGCCGGCTGTCAACATTGTAGCAACAACAACCCAGGGTTTCCCGCCTAAAGTAACTGACGTGGACCTGAGTGAAAACTATATACACGATACTCCTGGTGGCCAGGGGGAGAACTTCAATACATAACACCAGCCTCTTCCAAATCTTGTCGCTTCAGCAAGATCCAGTGGCTTATTCCATCCCCACACAAAGCCTTTCTGTTCCTTAATGATGCCCCGTTTAGCATCATGCCTCGTCCAATCCTGTGGCCTTCAATGATGCATACCTTCAAGAATTTAACTCTAATCTGATCTATCTACATGAGCAACCACATGCTGGCTGGGTCCAGGTACAAAGGTGAGGAGCATCCTTGCAGATAACATAACCCAGTCCAGGTCTTGGGAAATCCTTGGGGTTCACTTCCATTAATTAGAAGAAATGACAAAATTAATTTGTTGTGCTGCAGGAGGTGCTAGGGAATTGTGCCTTGCCTATCCACTGTTGGGCTGGCAAGTCCCCTGTTTTAAAGTATTCACACTATTCTTAACAATAGTGTGCCCTAGGCTAAGAGTACAATAGGTTCAGGAGTATAGCAAAATATTGTTTTATTTATTTTATATTAGTAAATAATAACAGTGCATCACATTTGCTGTACTTTATAAGCCTATTGGAAGATCGGCGGTTTGAATCCCCGTGACGGGGTGAGCTCCTGTTGCTCTGTCCCTGCTCCTGCCAACCTAGCAGTTCGAAAGCACGTCAAAGTGCAAGCAGATAAATAGGTACCGCTCCGGCAGGAAGGTAAACAGCGTTTCCGTGCGCTGCTCTGGTTCGCCAGAAGCTGCTTAGTCATGCTGGCCACATGACCCGGAAGCTGTCTGCGGACAAACGCTGGCTCCAAGAGCTGGAAAAGATCAAAAGATCAGCTGGTACAACTTTCTCCCAAAGGCAGGACCATTTACCCAACCACTCCATCCCTACAGCAAAATCCAGATGACAGTCTGTTTACAAGCAAAGAGCAGGTACATGCACCACATTGGCAATTAAATGACTCCAGATTATTATCACAAACAAACAAAGGCATAAATTGAACTGGGAAGCATCAAATCCTTCAAGATTGCAAATGTACCTACTTTCCTTTCCAGTAGTGAACTTGGAAAGTCACTCTCCTGGGCTCTCCAGAGCTCGGGGGTGGAAGAATGGAGAGAATGTAACAGAGACTGAGGATTAAAGCTGGAGTTAGAGATGACAGACCAACGCACTCAGAGAGGCAAGATGAAGTACTATTTTGCAATACTAATGAAACCCAAGGTGTTGTGATTTTATGAAATTGGATATATCTTGCAAAGAAAAATGAATCTGGAACTGTGAAGGATAAAAAATGGTTTCAATGGTCTTTGCTGTACATGGGGGAGAGGAAAGCATTGATGTTAATTCTTTTGTTAATTCTGTGGGAACAAAGTTCTTGGTGACGACAGAGGTAACATGGACAGAGAAGAGACCAGACCCTGATGTCTGGGAAACTTGATACCACCAAGGATTGTTTTACTGCATAACAATGAGCATCTGGAAACCTTGGAGTTTGCTTACCTCTGTGGAGCAGGATTTGAATGCAGTGACTGAAGAGAATATCTAATTTACCATCGCCAGTCAGACTTTTGCGCATGTAGAACAGCGGAAGGGATAAGTTGTATCTGTGGACTATTGATTTATAACTAATAATTTCTGTGGGCTGACAAAGTGAAGAGTAACTCAACTTGAGATTTGGGAATATGATTAGAAGGGAGGAAAAAACTAACGTTGGAGGTGAGGGAGTGGACCTGGCAACAGAACTAAAACAAGCTGAGCTAGCCAAAGAGGGACGTGAAGAAAGTTTAGAACAGGAGCTATTCCTGGAAAACCCAGAAGCCATGTTAAACGAGCCTCTTCTCTCCTCCCTATCAGGAGAGAATTTAAGGTGCCCTTCCCCGACTGAGCCGATTGAGACAGACAAATGGCCAAACAGATTAAGTTTACAGCACCCGGACAACTTTATCTTCTACCTGTCAGGGATGTTTGAAGAGTTACTCAAAACTCATTTCACACAGATAAGCAATGAACTTGAGCCAATTAAAAATTTCCTTTCGGAAAGCTTGAACCTGCTTACCACCCTAACTGAATTGATTAAGAACCATGAGGCCGCTTTCCCTCACATGATATCTGGGACTAGGACCAATGGAGGTGAAACTAAGCCGGGACTCGATCACAAAAAAACAAACAGAAACAATTCAGTGCAGGAGGGAGGGCCCCTTGCTCCCAAGAAACCGACCTTAAAGAGAAAAGGCTCAACACAAAAAACGAAGAAGACCAAAAACATCAAATTGAGAGGCCAAAAGGGAACGCCGACCTGCCGGACTAAAAAAATGAATCTCCAGAAGCTATTTAAGGTGCTGGAGAATATAACAACAAAGAATTCTGCTTCCACAACCCAAAAGAAAATCATAAACTCATGCATGCCAATAAAGCACTCTGAGGAAAAGCCCCACGCCCCAGCAGATCACACACCGCCCTCTAGTGGGGAAATAGGAAAACCAAAGGAAATTTTACCACCCAAGCAACCAACCCTTTGCTTGACATCGCAAATAAATCCTGTGTACCCTAATATAACAAAAAAGGATCAAGATAAAACAACACAGACTTGTTGGAAGCTAATGCTAAACAAACATAAACTTGCCTTTACAATACTTCCCACAAACAGAGGTCATCCATCATATGCTCAAAGAAAAGTAAATATTCCCGAAAAAATCGGAATAGTTACCAGGGGCCTTGTGACAGCAGAAAATATCATCAAGGTAAAATTCCTCCCTCGTGATACGGCCCAAAATAGGGCTATAGTGACTTTTAAGAACAGGCTGTCAACTAAACAGATCCTTTCTAATAAAAACAATTTCCTGAGGGCTGGCTTGCTTGTGCACCGTTTCTTCGAAAACATCGAAGACCCTTTGCCACTTCTAGGAGCACATAGGCCAGTCAGACCAAAAACCAAAACCAGCACTGCAGAATCCAACAGCGCTGGAAACGGTAAGCTGCTCTACCCAGAGGCTGGCAACCTTAAACAATCTGGCAGGTTGTACAAAACCCCGCCCTCGCCAAATAAGCTAGAAAAGGATTTCTCGTCAAAGAAAGAACAACTCCTAACAACCTACCTCGAGCAGATTCTACTTTCCCAGGATGCACTAATTGAAAGACTATCGACCATAAGGAACTTCCTTCCACCTCTAGCCCCGCCTCCTCCCATGGAATTTAATTACATCAATTGTAAATCAAAGCCTTTAACTAACGAGGAATGGACAACTTGTCGATATCTGGCTCCAGAAGAAACGGGCTCTCCTACACCCCCACCAACAGCCCAGTCCAAATTGCAACAAATCGAACTAGTGGTGCCAGCGCCGGGAATTGGCCCAATCTTCATGGACTGCCGGGGAATCCTAGAAGCTATTCATGCAGAGGAATGAAATGAGGTCTTGGTGGGTGACTGCCTGAACAGACAAATTAATACCCCCAAATTAGCCTTTCCCCCAAAAGGCTCACCCATTCCTCCGCATCGCGGCTCAATCAAGCCAAACCCAAAGGACCCGAGGAATCAGCAGCAGAAAACAGCTATGGGTGCCTGGAGTCTAAAAACCTAAGAACCAACTACTGCCCTAGACATCATCTCCTGGAGTGTTGCCGGCTGGTCCAGATGCCTCTCCCATTCTACAGACATTCCCTTCTACCGTCAAAACTTTAATATCATCACTCTCCAGGAGAAGTGGGCGGCCGAAAATCCATCACTGGAAGGATACTGCACATATGCAGCAAATCTGATGGGCCTGTGCACATCACTGTTCTTCACAAAGTTTGACCGTGATAATTGACACCTGAAGCAGATATTGCCTGGAATCATGTAATCATCTCCCTTAATCATCTGTCTTAAACCAAACCCTCTTGTGGCTGTACTTACATGGTGCACTGGTCATTTGTGATCTCTCCTGTCATGAAGTGAGTTGAGTTATTACCTTGCTTCAGTGGTTTGTTGGCAACCTGAAGACGCACAGGCTATAATATGTCCAGAGGCTACAGACGACCTGATCCCCATGAAGTCTGAACTGTCATGAGCTAACTTTTTAATAAAGATATATGAATTTATTTTAAATAAAAAAAAAGAGTCTTTTTTATGGGTGAATCAGTCAATTTCCCTTTATGCAATGCATTTTTGTATGGTATTTTCACTACTACCTACATTCTTATGCACCCTTTACCCTAGCATATGATTAAGATGTATTTTTGTTCACACTGCTTGGTTGGAAAACTGCATTACGGAATTCAGAAAAGTTCAGATTTTGAAGGGTGGCTGTTTTGCAGTGATTTAGGGTGAGTCACTTATAAATGAGAACTGGATCAAATTTCCCTACTGTCCTTTGTCCCAGTGCATGCAGACCTTGTCCCACAGAAACCAGTATTAACACAAAACAGGAAAATCAGGACTGAGGATCAGTAAATGGGAATTTTAAATGCATTAGAGGTTTTATGTTATCTGGCCTGTTTTCCAAATGCATTCTTTTTGTTGTATGGTACAAGTCTGTTTGTTCAGCCCTATGTGAAAGTGTTGTGCTGAACATTTTTCTTGCATTTTTTTCAACCAATCTCCATTATGGCTCAGGACTGCAATCCCTCAAGGATTACCTCTCCCCATATAAACCGACCCAGATTCTGCGTTCATCATCTGAGGCCCTTCTTCGTGTGCTTCCTCCACGTGAGGTCCGGAGGGTGGCAACACAAGAACGGGCCTTTGCTGCAGTGGCTCTCTGTATCTGGAACGCTCTCCTCAGCGAGGTTTGCCTGGTGCATTCATTGTATATCTTTAGGTGGCAAGCAAACTTGTTCCTTTTCAATCAGGCCTTAGGCTGATTAATATTATACAGCCTTTGAAATGTGCTTGTGGGAGGACGGCGGCTATTGGTTTGTTGCCTTGTTTTATTTATTTATTTAGTTGTGTTTTTTCTTGTGAACTGCCCTGAGATATGATGAAGGGCATGATGAAGGGCGGTATATAAATCTAATAAATAATAATAATAATAATAAAAAGGAAGTATGCCGGAAATAGCGTGTGCGCACGCGTATGGGCAAGCGCTCTCCCGCCCTCCGGCCTGCTGCATGATCGGCGCTGGAGACACCGGCCTGAGGCACAGTAAGTATGCTGACCCCTGTTATAGTTACTGTAAATACAAGTCTAAGCAGGAATTGAAATATGTACAGTTGATGGGAAATGAAGAAGGGGAAAAATAAAATATTTTATCATTTTGTCATTATTAAGCATTGAAATGGAATTAGGAAATATACGTTACAATGAGCAGAGAGTAAGGAAGGAAAGAGAAACATAGCAGCAGGGTAGGAAGTAAATTTTGTATTAAATTTGAATTAATTTGATGTTGATTTGTTTTAAAAAAATGAAAAGCAATAAAAACGTATTAGCAGAAAAGGGATTGCAAATGTATCTGACAAGAGCAGGTGGACACCATTCCTTCCTTAACCCAAATATATGGTCAATAAAACCTGTAGCATACGCAAGACCCTGCCACTAAGATAGTGTTGCCATTTTGTTGAGCTTTTTTGGGAAAGTTGTTGAGCTGCCATAGGTATAGACTGCCATACATCCGGATTTTCCTGGACATTTAAGCGATTTCCACCTGGGCGCTGTTTCCAGCAGCCAAATCCCAGCAATGCCCAGGAAATTCCAGATATATGGCAGCCCTACACTAAGCTATCACAAAGCAATTTCGGTTGGTACATCTTTATGCTACTTGTTATACAGTCTCTCATACTGGCAATTTAGTGAACTAGTGCAAAGGCCCAATTTAAATTAAATACAATTAACAAACGTCATGCTGCTGATGCAATGTTTAAAAGGTTCATACTACGTCTGGCCTTGGGCCTTTTTCTTGCACATCAGCGGTCTGTAACCTCCATGCAGGGGGATGGTGCAAATGGCCAGACACATAGCCTGTGTGCACGTTGGCTGTGACTGCACCATGCTGAAGGATGAGCCTCCATCACTGGGACAGAAAGCACACTGATATTTCAGTGTCCAATTTCTCCTATAGCTCCATTTTCATCACATCAGTGTCCTCACGAAATTGGGCAACTGAAACCAATGAGACAGCAGGGGGAGCCCAGAACCATATTTTTGGATAAGCATTCCTTCCATAAGCTGCAGGACATTTTTGGGTAAAGGGTGATTTATTTTCAAGTTGCAGTTAGGTCTGATAAAAAAAATCACTCCAAAAGTCACACTCTTTTTATTTATTTTTTGCAGATCCTAGCCAACCAACCTGGCTAGGTTGCATTGGCCCAGAATTCTGGTTGCGTTGGCCCAGAATTAAGGGCCACCAAAAGGGGCTTTGGGTCCAGCTGGGTCAGGAGCAGTATGCTGTTCCCCCTTCACCCCCACATGAAATCTACTTGACAGACCTCTCTGACATGCAGGGGACTGGGCATGCGCAAAGCCACCCCCTCCCCCACAAGGTCCATGGCACAACTTAGGTTCTGCTACTGAACAGTGTCCAGTCATATCTGTAGGTCATACACACCAATAAGAGCAATCCAACACACAAATCAGTGTTAATGATAGTTGTGTGATGGGTGTGCTTGGCAGCTTGGGTCCCTAAAGGGTTTCTCTAACATTTGTTTACCATGCACACTAAAAACTGAAGCCGCACAGGCCAAAGGCAGTATTTAAAGGAAGTATCAGCACTCAAATTAGCAGGGGGGTGGTAGGTTGGTGCCTGAACTTGTGACCTTTGGGGGCAGCCCCATAGCTCTTGTTTTCAGGAGGTGACAGAGGGGCATGATTTGACTAAAATGGGTTGAGGAAATGGGACTTGCCAATTTCATTAAGGGTCTGCCTACCTTTGCCACAGTGAAAGAGAGTAGCACATCCATTAACCAATTTAATAATTGAATTCACTGGCCTTGCAGACAACTTCATTGTCCAGAAAGTGGGAGAAGCAACAAGAGGAACAGCCATTTTAGATCTGGTCCTAACCAATGTGGATGACCTGGTTAGTGGGGTAGAAGTGGAAGGATCATTAGGTGCGAGTGATCATGCTCTTCTGAAGTTTACTATACAGCGGAAAGGAGCAGCCAAGCATACTAGGACTCAATTTCTTGACTTTAAGAAAGCCGACTTCATAAAACTTAGGGAAGTGCTGGGTGAGATCCCATGGACAGTAATACTAAAAGGAAAGGGAGTTCATGATGGCTGGGAGTTTGTTAAGAGGGAGATAGTAAAAGCACAACGTCAGGCAATACCAATGAGACGGAAACATGGAAAGTGCCTAAAGAAGCCAGGGTGGCTATCTAAAGAACTTTTAACTAAGTTAAGATTAAAAAAGGATGTGTACAAAAAATGGAAAAGGGGGGAAATCACCAAAGAGGAATTCAAACAAATAGCCAGCTCGTGTAGACACAAAGTCAGAAAAGCTAAAGCACAGAATGAACTCAGGCTTGCTAGAGAGGTTAAAAGCAACAAAAAAGGCTTTTATGGGTATGTTCGTAGCAAAAGGAAGAACAAAGAGACAGTGGGGTCACTCAGAACAGAAGATGGTGAAATGCTAACAGGGGACACAGAAAGGGCTGAACTCCTCAATGCCTTCTTTGCCTCAGTCTTCTCCGATAAAGAAAACAATGCCCGACCTGAAGAATTTGGAGCAAATGATTCAGCAAAGGAAACACAGCCCAGAATAACTAAGGAGATAGTACAAGAATACTTGGCTAGTTTAGATGTATTCAAGTCCCCAGGGCCAGATGAACTGCATCCAAGAGTATTAAAAGAACTGGCAGATGTCATCTCAGAACCACTGGCAGTCATCTTTGAGAATTCCTGGAGAACAGGCGAAGTCCCGGCAGACTGGAGGAGGGCAAATGTTGTCCCTATTTTCAAAACGGGGAAAGAGAGGACCCAAATAATTACCGCCCAGTCAGTCTGACATCAATAGCAGGGAAGATTCTGGAGCAGATCATTAAGCAAACAGTCTGTGAGCACCTAGAAAGGAATGCTGTGATCACCAATAGTCAGCATGGATTTCTGAAAAATAAGTCATGTCAGACTAACCTGATCTCGTTTTTGACAGAATTACAAGCCTGGTAGATGAAGGGAACGCAGTGGATGTAGCCTACCTTGATTTCAGCAAGGTATTTGACAAGGTGCCCCATGATATTCTTGTAAAGAAGCTGGTAAAATGCGGTCTTGACTATGCTACCACTCAGTGGATTTGTAACTGGCTGACTGACCGAACCCAAAGGGTGCTCATCAATGGTTCCTCTTCATCCTGGAGAAGAGTGGCTAGTGGGGTGCCACAGGGTTCTGTCTTGGGCCCGGTCTTATTCAACATCTTTATCAACGACTTGGATGATGGACTCAAGGGCATCCTGATCAAATTTGCAGATGACACCAAACTGGGAGGGGTGGCTAACACCCCAGAGGACAGGATCACACTTCAAAACGACCTTGACAGATTAGAGAACTGGGCCAAAACAAACAAGATGAATTTTAACAGGGAGAAATGTAAAGTATTGCACTTGGGCAAAAAAAATGAGAGGCACAAATACAAGATGGGGACACCTGGCTTGAGAGCAGTACATGTGAAAAGGATCTAGGAGTCTTGGTTGACCACAAACTTGACATGAGCCAACAGTGTGACGCGGCAGCTAAAAAAGCCAATGCAATTCTGGGCTGCATCAATAGGAGTATAGCATCTAGATCAAGGGAAGTAATAGTGCCACTGTATTCTGCCCTGGTCAGACCTCACCTGGAGTACTGTGTCCAGTTCTGGGCACCACAGTTCAAGAAGGACACTGACAAACTGGAACGTGTCCAGAGGAGGGCAACCAAAATGGTCAAAGGCCTGGAAACGATGCCTTATGAGGAATGGCTAAGGGAGCTGGGCATGTTTAGCCTGGAGAAGAGGAGGTTAAGGGGTGATATGATAGCCATGTTCAAATATAGAAAAGGATGTCACATAGAGGAGGGAGAAAGGTTGTTTTCTGCTGCTCCAGAGAAGCGGACACGGAGCAATGGATCCAAACTACAAGAAAGAAGATTCCACCTAAACATTAGGAAGAACTTCCTGACAGTAAGAGCTGTTCGACAGTGGAATTTGCTGCCAAGGAGTGTGGTGGAGTCTCCCTCTTTGGAGGTCTTTAAGCAGAGGCTTGACAACCATATGTCAGGAGTGCTCTGATGGTGTTTCCTGCTTGGCAGGGGGTTGGACTCGATGGCCCTTGTGGTCTCTTCCAGCTCTATGATTTTATGATTCTATGATTCTATGAATTGACTCAAGTGGTGTATTCTCATGCAGGGAAGTGAGAGCTGTTCTGAAGGAAGTGACAATATCTGTATGAGCAAATAAATAAAGAAGAATCAGATGTAAATGTGTGATGGTGCAAATAAGGGTGCCTTCTATTTACTGGCGTCCCTGAGGGGGCTCATGTGGAAGTGGTGTTTTTTCAAAACAAGATTTGTGAAGCTGCGGTTTTGTGTGGAAGCCTTCTGTCATAGGGCTGCTGTCACCACGCAAACAATGGTGTTTGTAGAGACTCGAATAACTATTCAAAAGCAAAGAAATTCCAACAGCCCTGCCTAAAGTCCTGTGAAGACATCATAGCTCACTTAGCATATTTGACGAATGAGTTTTGAGGCTTTTAAGAGCTTTAATTATTAGACAACCCATACTCTGTATTTAAAAAATTTATTCTTTAGTAAGAATACTTTTTTGTTTAAATCACAAAATATTGTGGAAATATTTTTTATAGTAGAATTCATGGAGTGCTGGAAAATAATGAATATAAAGATTGATTCCTATTATCTCTCATACTGTTCTTTAAACAGCTGGTTTCTTGCAGACAGTATTTATTTTATTTTTAAAATAATTTAAGACAGCATAAGCTTGTACCAAGCATTAAGCATTGTAACAAAAGTGCAACTTTGTTTTTCAGCAATTCCTCATCAAAAGGGATATTTTTAAACTCAATTATCATTACTCAATCTTCTTCCTACAAAAATAGCATGTCGGACATCATTAATTGAATGTATTAACTATTTACATACAGACACTCTGTAGGCTAGTAAGATTTAAAAAAAGAAAAGAAAAAAGGACCAACATTGTTTAAAAACAGTGTTTGAGGCAAACAGTAGCAACAGCAATAGCAGCAAATTCACTCAAAATGACTAACAGACCCAGGCATATTCACTCATAGTCAGACTGTTGTGTCTCACCTCTTACATAACATTCAAGTGAGGTTTCTCACAGTGCTACCTTGGCAACAAACTAAAAATATCTAGGCAAGGTTCTTGGCTTAAACCTTATTAACAAAGCTTTAGCTGTGTGATTATCTGGTGTCTGGCAACAGTCTCCAGAAAGGGAAATTGGGATATCTGGAGACAGAAAAACCTTGCAAGGAAACCTTATCCCACTTTTACCCAGTTACCAACACACCATTGTTAATTATGATTTGTAACCTCTTTTAGCTTATGTTAGTGGCTGTGCCTTTCAACGGTGGCCTCATGCACATATATTATGCAAGTGAAGCTTTGCAGTTAGCGTTTATCTCCATGCCAGGAAAAGCAGCACTTTCTTTCACCCCAATCTACCAAGGAAGAACCACACACTGAACTGCTGGAGATTCCGATTTCGCTGTTCTTATTCACAGCATGATGGTCTTCTGGGACCACTGTATGGACTGGCTGTGTCTTTTACTGCTTATGAGAAGGCATACTCCTCTCTGGGACTGCTTGCTTGGGGCTTTTGTGTTTAGGCCATGGTTAAAGGCACAAGATCAGGACAGTAAACTTATTTCTTCCTTCAGGATACAATCTAAGGCTAGATTGTGCTGCATTCCTATGCACACTTACCTGGGAGTAGGCCCCACTGAAGACAGCGAGACTTATTTCTGAGTAAATAGGATTGTACTGTTAATGGTGTGGGGTGTCTTTTTTCTTGTTAGTCCAGTGCAGTGATGTTCCTTCACATACAACAAGGTAATTTAATATCAGGAACACAGCAAAACTAAGCATTAAGATGTAGAAAAATGCACTTGCTTTAGCAAATAAGAAACTACATAATGGGACAGTTCTTCTGTCCCTTGAGCAAATGCCAGGGGTAGCTCTAAAAATGCAAGACAATAAAAATGCATGAACAAGGTCTGTTCATGATCTGTTTCTCAATAAAGTGCTAGCTTACCTTCATTTTTTCTCCCAAACCCCACTTCCACAAACTCCTAACTAACTAACCAAACTCCTCCAAGCATTGCATGTGGCAAAGGTAAAATATAGCCCATTGAAATAAATGGTTCCTAAGCTCTGAATAAAGGTAAAATAAAGTTGCTATTTGGCAGAATCAGATGGCAACTCCAGTGATTTCAATGCAGTTGCATTGCACTTAAATTTTACTGGCTTCTGCCCAATGATTCTTGTATGGAGCCACCAATTAAGAAGTCAGTAATAGAGAAGCAAATTCTCTGTAATTCTTAGGCTACCATTCTCAAGACAACTTCCTCTCATCCAGAGTAGTGACACAGGCTTCAGTTGGGCCGTTCTTAAGTAAGCAGTTTGCCTGTTTGTTGACTTGGTTACTACCAGGAAACCGATTCCTGGATTTCTGGACCAGGAAGCATTTTATGCTGAAGCTTGCCCTGCCAGGAGCACAATCTACTATGGAACTTTCCTTTGCAAACCCCACTAAAATTCAAGAGCACTTTAAAGTAGTTCCTGCTTATTTCACTGGGGCTTGTGCAAAGCTTCCTGCTGAGTTATGCCCACTTGAGTAAGTTCCATTACAGTCTATACATAATCATTATTAAAGTGCCTGCAGTTATGGTATGGTCTGGTACAGTATACAGTATATCTTGCATCCTGACTCCCCAGTTCCAGATGCTGCAGCCCCTGCCCTTTTCTTTAGGCCTTCTGAATTGTTAAGCAAACTTCTCTTACGAAGAAAGAGCCATTTCCCCCACCCCTAAGGGAGTCTTTTCCATTTGCTTTTGTTTCAGTTCAACTGGGGGGTGGAATTCCGCAACATTACAACATTTGTGTAAAGAAAATTTTAAACACACACACAGCATTGGGGGGGGGGACAAGGAGCTCTCCAAAAATATTTGTGGGAGAGGGAGAACCTAATCTTTTAATAAAAGAAAAAGAATAAACTGTCAGCCTAGTAAGCTTTCCCTTAAACACACAAAGAAACAGGGTGAGGGTTGCTTCTCCTTCTTGGGAGTGATGGATCCTTCCTGTCAAGTAGGAGGCATGAACTGTGTGGTTTCCTTTAGAAATGATGTAGCATCACTCAAGGATTTTCCTCTGCAGACTGCAAATGCTCCTCTTGGGAAGGGAGGTCCATGTCCCCATGGAGCCCACCTGGGTTGCAGGTAAATGGATGGGGGAGGTGCTGGCCAGAAGAAGCCACATCGGTAGACGTTGCTGAGGCCAAGCTGGTTTTCTCTCCTGGTACCAATACTGAGGAGAAACAGGGGAAGGCCGCAGCCGCAGCAGCAGCTGCAGCCTGAGCTGGAATCCCTGGGTAGATCCAAGGAATTGGAGTAGCAGCAGCAGCAGTGACTGCTGCTGCTGGGTAAAAGTATTTATCCAGGTTGCTCTTGTCCAGGAAGGGCTGCATGTAGGCAGCTGCTGCTGAGGGGGAGATGAAGCAGAGAGGCAGGCAGAAGGGAGCAGCAGGTTGATGGGCAAAGGGAGATCCTCCTCCCCCCAGACCTCCAAAAGCCACCAGGGAGCTGAGAAGGGCTGAACCAGCTGCTGCTTGGTCTGGGCTCAACACTGCCGAAGAGGTGCTGCTGCAATCCATCTTCAGCCTTTTAGCTGCTGGAGGTGCTTCATCCCCAGAGGGCTCCTGCTTGATCATCAGGTTGCCTTGCCTTTTGTCCCCTTCCGGTCTTCCCTCGCACTCACCACCATAGCCACTATCTGTATCTGTGTCATTCTCCCCACCAAGCTCCACATGACCCATTGGATGGTGGCTGAATTTATGCTTGCTACTTGCATTCTGAGTCCTCTGAATGACTGGCACACAATTTGGCTGGCTCTCCAGCTTTGGGCCAGTGTGATCTCGCTGCACACAGGAAGAGGCGGAGGAGGTGGGGCAGGGTCCTTTGCCTGCACAAATCTTTGGAGTCAGGAGCTGGGGGCTGGGGAGGAATCGTGTGCAAACAGAGTGCAGGTGGTTGATGAGCTGGGCACATCTCTGCTCTCTTGGAGTCCAATTTTCAAATCTGGAGAGGTACTGCATGACTTCTTTGGTGCATGTCTGGAATCCTGAATGGAAAGCATCCAAGTCAGATTGCAGAGGAGACTTCAAAGATCTCTCCCCTACAAAGGGGGGGGGGGAGAGGGAGGAAGGGATGCAAAATAACAGGCATTAGTAATACTACTTGCATTAGATCTAGTGTTACACAGAATCTGACTGTTTTATTAACAAAATTCCTCTATAATGTAATTGCTTTGTGTTAAATGTACTAATCTTCTAGTGCAAAGTTATCAATCTAGGACTATGATTTATGAAATCAGTTGGAAAAGGTTAAGGTATCTCAAGAGATAACATGTTAAGGCTGTAATACTAGACTTACTTATTTGGGAGTAAGCCTCAAACAAAATGGGACCTATTTCCAAGTAAATAATAGAATTGTAGAGTTGGAAGGGACCCCAAGGGTCATCTAGTCCAACCCTCTGCAATGCAAGGATATATATGTATATACGGTAGATATGGTTAGACTGCACAGCTGCAGTCCTTTTCACATTTACATAGGAGTTAAGGCCCACTAAATTTAAGGGGACTAAAGTTTAAGTAAACATGACCGTACAGGTCACTGACTCTGAAGCAGTTCTATAGATTTCAATTTGGCAACTTAACTGTGGAGTTAGCTAACAGTTCACCAACTGCTAAGACTTTGTCAGTAACCAGATGTGTCCTTCATAATCTTTGAGAGAGCTAGAGATAGAGATACACAATGTTCTATATTGTGCTTCTGCACTGGGCATTTACTTACCATTCTGTAAAGCAATTATCTTCTGATGCTGCTGCTCTGTTAAGGCTGTTAAAGCTTTTAAGTGTTTCAAAGTTAATTCCAAAACTACAGCTTTCTCCAGATGCCCTAGTGTCTGCAAAGGGAGGGAAAGGGACACACAATCAAACAAAATTCTATTTTCTAAAACTTCACTAAGCTCACTTTGGAAGAAATCTTGTTTTATTACTGCCCTTGCTCGAATTGGTGATAAATACTGATAAATCACACCCATTTTGAAACTTCACAAATAAGGCTAATGGTGGTTCTACAGAAATGCTGTCATATAAGGAATTTATATTAGACTTCTGGATGTCTTGCAATCCTAAAAATCACATTTAATTCAACCCAGTTTTAAAGGATGTACTCTAGAAAGTTTTATGGGAACCACCCTGAGACCTCTGGGTATAGGGCGGTATAATAATAATAATAATAATAATAATAATAATAATAAGTGCGGGTAAAGCACTGCTGAACTCAGTGACTTAGTTCTAAGTCAACAAAAATAACCACACTTTTTCCTAATATGTGCATCTTTTACAGTGCAACCATATCCAGGCTAAATCTGAAGTAAGTCCCACTGTGCCAAATGAGCTTACACTGAAGTAAGTGTGCATAGGATTACAGCCTGAGTAGTAAACACTTCACTAAGAGTTTATGGTGTTGCAAAAATACCTAGATAGATGTACAGGCAAGCATATACACACGGACTTACTGTCAGTTTCAGATGCTCAGGCAATAAATCTTTCAACTGAGCAATACACTCATTAATCCGGTCTCTTCTTTTCTTCTCTATCAATCTATGTGGCAGTTTGTATGTTTCCTATTCAGGAAGAAAAAGGACAAACACTTGTTTCACTATAATGCCAACCAGTACCTAAACAACTGTCTTGCCACCTACCCTTCTTTCCCATTTCAAGAGTATCTACTGGCTTAGGCATCTCCCCTCTCCCTCCAGAACTGTTCTTTGTCAACATAACTAAAACAAAACTGCCCACTACAGATAACAGAAAGGAAGTGTATGAGGAAAAGAAGAGAACTTCTGCATAAAGTTGGGCTCCCATTTATCACAAGCCCCTGCTAAGTATTGTGCAGGTGCTGGAGAGCATCAGAAAAGCTTATTCTCTTACCTTGCTCTCGTCCCTCTTCATACCTCTCTTGGGCTTGCACATATACAAGGATGGATAACCCAGTCTGCAGGAACAGAAAAGTGAAAGAGAGACCCATTGACTTTAACATGCATAGTGGTCTCATTAGCTACTACTTTGCAAGAAATCTCCCAAAAGTGGTGCATACAAAACTAATGTCTCACATCAAATGTAACTGATCTGTAGAAAATACACTATAACCTGAAAAAGAGACAATTCATGTACTTTTGTAAACCAAGAAAATCTTTAATATATTATTTTTTTTATAAAAAAAAGGGATGGAGGGGGGCACGTGCATGCTTAAGGCTGCCCAGCCAAAGAACCAGAGTTAACCCATCTCTTTATCTCCCCTTTCCTTTTGCAGAAAGGAAAATAATAATAAGAAAAACCGGGGTTTTTCTCCTAAATTAAAATGACAACAATGATGCAGAAGTCCCTGTCATCTGACCCTATGAATTCCCGATGCTCCAATAACTGCCTTTCGGGCAAAGGAGAGATCCCTTCATCCATGTTTGGCAGCAGCTTTTTGGGGGTGGTCGCCGCTTTGGCTGGCTCCCGTGAGCTGGTGCAGAGTCTTGGGAGACCTTCGGGCAACAAAGCCCCACCGTCGCCCCGGCAGCCTGGTCCGGGTGGGAAAGCAGCTCCCCCTTGGTCTGCTGCTCCTTTTCCTCGCCCCGTCTCTTCCCTCTGGCTCCGGGCGCGCTGCTACTTGGCGTTCCTGCTTGCTTGCTTGCTTGCTTGCTTGGCCACCGGGCACGCGCTTGCCAGGCAGACCAGCACCCAGCTCACGTGCAGAACGTACCACGCAACCTCCCGGCTCCGGGATGGGGGCGCGCGCCAGGAGGAGGGGCGGGGCGGAGGGGGAAAGCCCAGCTTGGCCTAAGGAAGCATCCTCTGCTCAAACGGGACCACGGGCACCGGGGCGGGGGGGGGGGGAGACTCGGGAGCTTCTCGCGCGTTTCGCCTATTCCTCAGTGTCCAGGCTGGGGGGGGGGAGTCATAGAAAAGGTCCTCCTGCCAAGCAGGGCTTCCTCAGGAGGCTGGCAAGGCGCGTGGGCATTAGCCGGGGCAGGAGAGGGAGAGCGGGAAGCGGCGTCCCAGGCGGGGGATGTTGAAGCCGGCCTCGTGCGAGGGAACTGCAGCCCCGTGTGGCGTCTGACCCCGCCCTCGCCCTCGCCCTCGCCCGCTGCTCCAGACCCCGGGCCTGGCCTGCCGCTGGCGAGGGCGGACTCGGGCTCGTGCAAGTCCACGTTTGCTCCGGCTGCTGGCCCCTGAAAAAAAGAAAAGCCGGAGCGCCCTCCTCTTTAATCCCATCTCAAACTGGTACGAGCACAAGGCGAGCAACGTGATCCGGCCGCCTCCTGCCGCCGCCGCCGCCGCCGCACTGCGAAGGGAGCCCCGCGCGCGGCAGCCGCTTTCCTGCAGAGCGCAAACGCCGCCGCGCCGAGCAGATGCTTGACCTGCGGTCCCTCCGTGGGGCGCGGGAGACGCGGCGAAGCTAGCCTGGGTTTTTGCGCACACACACACACACACACACACACACACACACACACCCGCCGCCGCCAAATGCTAATAGCCCTGGATCAAAGCCCTCGGGCCCCGAGCTGGAGCCTGAGGAGCATCTGGAAAGCGGGGGTGGGGGAGCCTCAAGGTCTTCACCTCAACTCACCCCCAAAAGGAAGCGAATGGGAAAGGGGGCGGCGGCGGCGGCGGCGGCTCTGTTGCTTCCGCGCCTTCTGGTCCAGAGACCGAGTTCTGCTCCTCTGGAGACTCAGCCTTGCTGGACTCACAGGTGGCGAAGTGTGCGCGTGCACGCGAGATCCAGACCCCAGGCTCGAAGCGCGGGGGGTAAGAAAGCGCCTGCTTGGGCACCACATTCCCCTTCGTGGCTAAGATGCATTTCCTGAGCTTTGAATAGGGAACCATCGCCCGGAAAGCAGCATCCCGAGCCCAACCCAGGTTGAATCGAGGCGAACTCTCACGAAAGCATGCACGTGACTGCAGGACTAGCAGAGCATACAGTCCGCAAGCTCGCTCGCTCTCTTTCTTTCTTTCTTTCTTTCTTTCTTTCTTTCTTTCTTTCTTTCTTTCTTTCTGCTTGTGCGCACACAGTCACAATGGCCTCGCTACAGAACATGCGGGGCTCCCATAAGGAGTGGTTACAGTTTTCTGGTGGAGGAATCTGGTACGCAGCCCAGTAGGAAACACGTTGCAGCGGAGAGCGCCGGCCTCGTTCCCCGGCAGGAGAGCCGCAACGTGGGCCCAGGCGTGCAGCTGCGGGGCAGCCGAACTGCATAGTTTGCAGCTGGATCTATAACCCAGCGAAACGCTCCCCGCTCTAAGCCCCAGGGAGGCTTGCATGCAAGTAAGCGTGCGTAGGATCGGGAGTTGCTCAGCAGCTGTTACTATCATCCGGGGATGCCTAAAAGGTCTGGCGCATAAGCAACGCTGACAGGCAAATGACTCGGTATAGTCAACCTTGCTCTCTTTTCTAGCTGCTGAGGAAGGATGCTTTAGAGCGTTTTTAAAGTTCTTGGGTTTTTTAATGGAAATATACCCAGCGCTTCTGGAGGTACTGCAGAATATCCTCCCCCCCAAAAGGAAACGAAACGCTCTGAGAATGAGCAGAAAAGGAGAAACAAGAATTGCTGAAAGTGTGGGGTGAAAGAAGGTGTTGTTTTTTCCACGTGGTGTAATACATGAATATTTTCCTTAATCTTTTTGGGATTTCATTATTCATTATGCCTAGTAGGAAGGTTTCAGGCTATTTTGGGAAGGAGCATTTAAACATTTTTAAAGTTCATTGCAAATTATTTCCCATAAAATTCCTACTTTTTTTTTACAGTTCCACCACATGTGGATCATGGTGTCTTCCGCCTCCCCACATCTCCGACAGATGTTTGATCTAGCTTTATACATTTTTGCAAGTTTTACAGGTGTTAAATACCATCTGCAGAGCATCTTCATGCAGTTCTTCAAATCATAGCATGCTGTAAATTTTCGGTCTTCCCTCCACAGCCTCTCCCATGATTCCATCTGGATGTTGTAGCCAAAGTCCCTAGCCCATTGCATCATAACAGATTTCACTTCTTCCTCCTTGACCTCCCAGTCAAGAAGGAGTTTATACATATTAGAGATCGTTTTCTTATTAAATTTATTAAATCTTTCTCTAATCTTGAGAGTTCTGTGGATAACCCTTTCTGTTCATCCTTTTGAAATGTTTCTTTTTTTTAAGATAATATTTATTGATTTTATGATTACATACTATACATATACACATTACTTTACATTTACATTTACTCCTTAGAGTTGACTTCCCTCCTTCCTTCTTCTGGCTTTTTTATGTCGTCTCTAAGTTTTTCGCATTGTCTTTATCGATTTTGTTTATTCAACTTTATCTGTACAGTGTCTATATATAAATAAATATTTCTGTATATACACATCTTGTTGTTTGTCTATATTCATTTACAGATACAATTAGTTACATTGGTTGTATTTTACATTTTAATTCATATTGTCATTTAACATCCAATAAAGTTTATTTTAATTTCCCATTATGAGGTTTATTTCCATTCTACCGATTTCACTATTTCACCTTATCCTATGTATAACATAATTTTTTCCTATTCTTTTTGAAATGTTTCATCGCCCTGTTGTCGAATTTTCCCTGTTAATTTGGCTATTTCCGCATATTCCGTGACCTTGTACTGCCACTCTTCTGCTGTTGGCAATTGTTGTTGTTTCCACACCTGAGCCAGCAGTAACCTCGCCGCTGTTGTTGCGTATAGGAACATTTTATGATCCTACTTATCAATATCCTCTCCCACCATTCCCAACAAGAATGCCTCTGGTTTTTTCAGAAATGTGTACCTAAAGATCTTCTTTAATTCATTGTATATACATTCCCAAAAAGTTTTTACCTTATCGCATGACCACCACATGTGGAAAAAAAACACCTTCTTTCACCCCACACTTCCAGCAATTCTTGTTTCCTGTTTTATACATCTTTGACAATTTAGTTGGCATGAGGTACCATCTGCACATCATTTTTAACAGATTTTCTTTTAACAATGTACATGCTGTAAATTTTAACCCAGTGTTCCATAATTTTATCCACTTCTCATATTCAATATTGTGGCCTGTACAGTATCCAGTGCGCATTTAATCATGACACTCTTAATTTCTTCATCTTTTGTGTGCCATTCTAGTAGAAATTCATAAACATTAGATAGTTTTGTTTTTTTGTTATTCTGCAGTACTGCAATTTCTATTTTTTAAAAAAAGATATTTATTGAGATTTTCAAAATATTACAAAATGAAAAAAGAAAAAAGAAAAATACAAAATAAAAGTAGTTAAAAACAATTCAATCTTTCCGTTACTTATCTTTCATTTGCTTGTTTCCCGGACCTCCTCGCACCTCCCTTTTTTGTATTCCAATTCAGTTTGTTAGTTCAGCAAATCCTTCCCCTCTTTGTTTATCCTAGTCTTTAATCTTAAAATATTGTAACATTAAATTTTTACCTATTAATAATCCATTTTTCATTTATTCCCTTATAATATTACAGCTAAAAACCACTTAATTTCTATCCAACATCATTCTAACATTCATTAATTTTGCAGTATTTCTGTAAATAGTCTTTTCCCGTTCTTTCTTTCACCAATTAATCATCCACTTTTACTTTATTTAATCTTATTTCTCTTAAAACTTATATATCTAGGCTTATTCTTAAAACGTTTCCCCTAGGGTCAGAAAAAATTCCATTCCATGATTTTCCCATCTCTCATTAAAAGATTAAAAAAAAACAACAAATTATAATATATACATTTTAAATTCCCAATTTTCTTTCACCAACTCCCCTCCCCGGTTTCGGCCCCTAGCGATAGTTCCATCAATCTCGGAAAACCATCAACCCGGAGATCTTAAGTCCGAGGCTCTTAAATCTCTTTCATGTCCCCTCTGCCGGTCTTTTTGGTAGTCTTTGGTGTTAAAGAACAGATCTCGGTGAAGCTCCAACCCGTCGGTAGTCATATTCCTTCTTAGCAGGCATGCCAGACTTCCGTAGTTAGAAGTAGGGCCTATAGGATATTCCAAATCTTGTTTCACACTCCTTTCAAATCCAAAGGCCCTAAAAACTCCAGCCTCCGCCTGACTCAGATTTGTGTCCCAAAAGTCATTTGATCTCCACATAGGGTGATCTCTCCATCTTTCATTTTCCAAACCAAGCCGGGCTTCCATCTCCAAAAACTGGCTCCTCCTAGTTGCCATCATGTAAGGCCTCAAGTTATAGTCCACCATTTGCCTCTGTAGGGTTACGGCTCCCCCCTTGCATCACTTTAATCACAACAGATTCCTCCTTCTCAGATTCTTCAATTTGTTCAGTTGGAAAAGATTCTTATGCCGGATTCTTGTCAACTTCTTTACTAATGCCCACTTTTGTTCCCAAGGTTACAACATTGGTAGCCATAACATTTATCTGGTCTTGCAGCTTTCCCAACAAATAAAATGTTCTATTCAATTGACACTCCACTTCCTTCCCAACCGCCATCCTTAAGAAGTCCAAGGTCAAAACTAGTTTCTCAAAACTTTTATCTTAAGCAATTTCCCAGCTGCATCCTTACGACAATATCCCAGAGCTCCCTCTAGAGGGACACAAGTTCCTTTTATCACTCCTTAGCACAGTCCCAAAGGTCCCAAACGTAGGATTGTAACAATTCCTTCTTTCTTTTTAATTACTGAAACGGA